TGATAATGTGACAACTACAGAGAATGAATCAACAAATGGTGTCGCTACTGTGGGTACATCAGCAGAAGGGAACACCACAGCGAACACAACCTCTGTCACTCTCAATACCACCATAAACGAGGAATCAATCTCAACTGCTACCAACACCAATACAATTCCTACTATCCTTGGAATCAGCAATAACACCATAATGCCAAATGTAAAGGGTGATGCAGACAGCAGCAGTGTCAGCAGTTCTGTGTGGGTGCGTGTACCACTACTGATTGTGGTTACACTGGCCTGTATTCTTGTGTGCTAATTGTAATGGTGGTGTGGTGGTGTGACTCAGGTCATCCTTTGTTTTCTTTTCTTTTTTGCATACATCTTTACAGTCTAAGTAATCTTCCACCTGTTGGGATTTACTTCTTCTTTTTATGTTTCTTAATGTGTTTTTGCTCTCTATGTTTATCCTATAATAATTATTATTGCTACTCCATTCTGTGTGTGTGTGTGTGTTCTTGGAGACTCTCTCTGTTTGTGTGTGCACCTGGGCCTGCACTGTGATAATGATGAACTGTTTTTTGTAGTGGGAAAAGGAAATAATAATAACAAATGAATTTATATTTATGATTGCGTATATATACACATATATAGACTTACATCCATAGTTGGTGTATTTCTGTGTTTACTAGGTAAATTGGGCTAATGGTTAATATCTTTTTCTGTACATGTGATTTGCTGTGTCGTTCTGTGCTTTCCTTCAGATAAAAAGGGGATTGCTTGTTTTCTTTTTGTCATTTTTCTTGTTGGGTTTTTGTGGCAGAAGTTTGCCATTATCTGATATTTTTTTTTGGTGCTGGTTTTGCTCCTGTTTCTCTGTTGCTTTTTTTTGTATGTTTGTATGTGTTTGTTTATATTTTTCTTTGTTCTGTCATTGTTATTCTCCTGTGTTTCTGTAGTTCAGCGATTAGAAACGAATCTCACTACTTCAGTTATGCTTAAGAGGAAGAGTTTGCACCTCTTTCTGTTTTTATTGGCTCTGTTGGTGTGCTGCTCCTGTGAATGCTTGTCAACTGGCACCGATGCTGAAGCTGCTAACAACGCCTTACAACCCAACCAGTATGCTGGTGTTAATGGTTTTGTTGTTGATTCCTATAAGCGTGGTACGCCTGGTGGACCTCTTGCAGATAATTACGATCATTACCCTGGTGTTGATGGCAAGTCCATAGGACATAATAAAACCATTGCAGAACAATTGGGGATCAAACCTGGTGTAGCTGTTTCTCAAGTTTCTTCTGCTTCTCCTGCTCCTGCTGGTGAGTCTTTATGAGATGGTGCACTCGGTCAAAGGGTTGGTGTTCCTGTTACTGTTTCTGGTAGTGTTATTCATGTAACAGAATCTCATACTTCTTCTTCAGTGTCCAACTATACTTGCGTTCCTTGAAGTAAACATAATCAAGGCGCCAAAGTGTTTGGTGGTGTCCCAGGGTCTCAGAGTGTTCCTTGTGATGCTGGTGCTCCTGGCACTCGTATTCCACTCTCTGGTGAAAGCACCAGTATCCCTTTGCCTAAAGATAATCCTGTGAATCCTGCAGATAAAAACAAACTGAAGACTCATGCTCTTCCAGGTGTTGTTGCGGATCCCAACCTTGCTGGATCTCTTAATTTAAGTCTTGATTCTCAACCTCTTGCTGGTGTAAGTGTTAAAGGTACAGCTGTTTCTACTGATAAAAAAGAACATAAAACTCATCATGGTCCTGATATTGTTGCTGATCCCACCCATGCTGACTCTCTTAATTTAACGCTTCATTCTCAACCTGATGCTGGTGTTGCTGGCCTACCAAATGTAAATGGGCAGCAAAGCGTCGGCGTTGGGCTCCAACCAGGTGTTGCTCTTCCTCCTTCTACTGCTCATGGAAATGGTACTGTTACTCCTGTTGGTGCTGTTCACGAAAATGAACAAATGCCGGATTCTGCCAGCACACAACAAGCAGGAGAAAATACTAAACAGGCAGAGAATACTGAAGCACCTTCAACTACTGCTGCAGTGAGTGTTTCAGGTGCAACTGGTGCGCAAACCTCCTCACCAACTTCAACTGCACCTACAAAGGGTGATTCAACAAGGAACACACCCAATAAACCGAATACGGTGAACTCAACTACCACCACCACCACCACCACGACAACAACACTTCCTCCTGAACCTTCAAACAGCAAGAAACCAACCAAGAAGGGTGATGCAGACAGCAGCAGTATCAGTTCTGTGTGGGTGCGTGTGCCACTACTGATTGTGGCTGTGTTGTTCTCTGCTACCGTGTACTGAACGGTGGGACTCACTTGAGGGCAAATAATAATAATGGTTAAACTGACATAATCATAATTTCGTACATCCCCCATGGGTGAATGAACTAAAAATCTGTTTATCAGCATTCTCTTTTAATTGGAATTTGTTTTTTCTTTTTACTTTTGTGTGTGTGTGTTCTTTTTCTAATAATTCCATTACTTGCTTTTCCCGTTGTGTGTTTGCAGAAAACTGGGCTGTTCTGCTCACTGACGGTATACATCTCTTGCTAGTACACACAGATGTGTGTTTTCAGTAATTTAATACATAAACTAGAATCATGGGGTATTGTGTGTGTTCGGCTCTTTCTCTTATTTGGGTATGGTGAGGTGTTCTCTTTTTCTATTAATGGGTACATATTATCACTACAAGCGGGCTATTCCTTTTTCTTGCTTTACTGTGCAGTTACTGCTTCTCTCTCTCTCTTTTCCACTGTGAGTATTTGTTTCTATCTTAATCTTTTCCTTCTGTTCCTTTTTCCTTGTATTACTCTACTGAAATAGAAACAACAATGACAAAGGTTGTAATGGTGAGGTGCTATCTGCTCTGTTTACTAACTCTTACACTGTGTTGTGCTTGTGGGTTAGTATGGGCTGATAGTCCTAAAGCTTCTGATGCCCTTATTAAACCTTCTACTGTTGGTGTTCCTTCTCTTGTTTATCATGCTTTTCCTGCGCAGGATGTTGATGGGTATGAGATTTTGATTGAAGAGGAGGAAGAAGATGGAGACCATTCAGGTGTTACCAAGGTACATGGTTCTGAAAGTTCTTCTGATTCCTCTCAAGTGGAGCCAGTCAAGCAGCAGATTTCTCCACCGTCAGGTTCTTCTAATTCTCGTACCGATTTGGGAGCAAATAGACCAGGTCTTTCAAGGGATCCTGGAAGTGCGGTAAATAGATCACCGGATGAACAGAATTCTCAAATGGGTAGTGGTCATGAAAAAACACAGGAAGAAGACCAATTGACAAGATCACCAGAGAAAGAAGGCGATCCAAGCAAGGAAGAAAAGGTAACTGCTGGTCAAACTGAAACGTCACCTGAACGGGTATCCAATATTGGTGGCCAAGGGGGTTCGCAATTGCCCGAATTGCCAGAGCAACAACAAGAACAACAACAAGGTGGAACCACTCAGGATTCCCACACTACAACAAATACGGTGGATACAACAAAAGGGAAAGGAAGTACTGACAGTAACAGAACTTCTGTTGCTCCAACTGATAAAACATCTGAAATTTCTCCCAACAATTCCGAAGTAAAGAATGCTGACGGTTCTGATGCTGCAAATACTGAGAGTGACGTTACCCCTTCAGGGAGTGTGTCATCAAACAACCAAGAAGGTGATGCGGTAAATACAGAAAACACCACCACCACCACAACAACAACAACAACAACACTTCCTCCTGAACTCACAAACAACAAGAAGGGTGATGCAGACAGCAGCAGCAGTATCAGCAGTTCTGTGTGGGTGCGTGTGCCCCTACTGATTGTGGTGACACTGGCCTGTATTCTTGTGTGCTGATTGTAGTGGTGGTAGTGGTGTGGTGTGACTCAGGTCATCCTTTTTCTTCTTTTTTGCATGCATCCCTACAGTCTAACTAATCTTCCACCTGTTGGGATTTTTTGTTCTTTTTTTGTTTCTTAATGTTAATGTGTTGTTTTTGCTCTCTATGTTTATCCTATAATTATTATTATTGCTACTCCATTGTGTGTGTATGTGTGTTCTTGGAGACTCTCTGTGTGTGTGCACCTGGGCCTACACTGTGATGATAATGATGATGATGAACTGTTTTTTTGTAGTGGAAAAAGAAATAATAATAACAGATGAATTTATATTTATAATTGCGTATATACACACATATATAGACTTACACCCATAGTTGTTGTATATTTCTGTGTTTACTGGATAAATTGGGCTAATAATTAATATATGTTTTG